GGGGGGGAACCTTCAGCCGTAAAACCACTGAGACGACTTTCAGAGAATGGATGGAAGGAAGCTGATGCAAAGCCATCAACTCTGTGGCTACTCCTCGGAGATGGGGTGGGGATCACTGGGCCACCAACCATGGGCAGGCCTCCAACCAAGGGGTCTTACGCTAACAGCGCCTCCTGGTGGTGCAAACATGGAATGAGTTGGCCCCACCAACAACGGTGAATGTACATGCTTCAGCTTCACAGGTTCATTCAAAACTTGTTCAAATCTCAGTCTGCTGCAACTATGCAGAAGGGCACTCTTACTTTGGGCGACCCCAGGCTCCTCCCACCAATGACACCACTGACCACATGAGGCTCAAAAGTCTGCTCCTACTCATCTTACCCGCCCTGTGAATCCCACGCTAGAAATGTGGGAAGGTACATTCAGGGAAGGTACTCATGTCCCACCCTCCTCTTGCTCTGGGAACCCCCAAAGTGAAGAGGCAATGGGTGAGTAGAGAAGGAACACCAAACTGGTAGAAAATAGGGGACGCAAAACCAGACTATCTGGATTTACAAAGTCGAAGAGCCTGTGGTAACAAGTAGGGGGACAGAGACGGGAGATAAGAGAGGGGATATCACTCTAAAAGCTTTTGGGCTAAACATTCTCAGACCTCACCAGTCACTTACCAAGCTGCCCCCCCCCCCCAAACACCCACCGCCATGACAGGGAGAAGGGGTATATGCTGTACCAAATATCTGGGAAAACGGCATCAGGTGGGCAGGAGAGTAAACCCTTCCTCAGTCTGCACTGTTCTCCATACCTTGCTTGGCTAACACATCTGTCTGCCTTTTAGCACCAGGTACAGACGTCACCTCCTCCAGGAGACATGCCTGGTTTGTGCGCAGAGCCTGCAGCCCCACGTCGTCAGTCTACTGTGGCCTGGACCTGGTGATGCGCCCTGGGGAAGCTGGGTGCTCCAGAGAACCTAATGCAAAGCTCAGGGGCCATAAAGCGCCAACGGAGCCTACGGGTGGTAGTAAGTGGTCAGGGCGCCGAGTGAGTGGGTGGCCATCCTCCCAGGCATTTTGAGAGCCTCTGGCCTCAGAGGACAGCTCAGGGGACCGGCTGACAACGGGGAGTGTGCACCAGATACCCTGGAAGGGGGTGACACTCTTCTTAGCGTTTGTTTTCATTGTGTATGGCTTGTGTTGGCATAAAAAAAAACATACCTTAAAGAAAGTGTAAATCTTTATTACTTTGCCTCCGCAAAGTCTCTCCAAATGGCCACCTGTCCATACCTCTCACTTTGGCCCAGAGCCACCACACTGCACATTCACTGGGATCAGGGATAGGAATGTCTCATTCCATGATCACCATCTCCTATCTCCCAACTCCTGGTTGTTAAGCCTCTTTCAGGTCCACCCTCCAACTTTCTGTCCTTTCCACCCTCCGCCAAAGGCTTCTGAAGGCCTTCAGGGAAACTAGCCAGTGCCAGCAGCTGGGAGTTGAAGTTCCCAGCAGGAGCTGCCCAGATTGAGAGCTCCCTGTTTACTAACCTGGGCTTGAAGGGGAGGGGTGGAGGGAGGAAGAGGCTGTAGTAAGAAGACGCAGCTTGTGAAAGTGCAGTAGAAAGCAGCTGGCCCCATTTCCTGGGGAAGCTGCCGGGGCCAAAACAACACCTGTGTTTGTTCGGGCCTCTGGGACAAAGCCCAGGGGCTAAGCTTCCAAAGGACATTCAATAAAAGCCACACTCCCCAGGGCCCCTCTGCTTAGGGTCCTGAACTCCTCCAAAGCGGTTAAAGTACCCCTACAAGCAGTAGCCACGAAGCTCTGGCATGGGAGTCCTACTTTAAAAACACCCTCTTCCTACAGACCAGATCTGAATCTGAAACTCCAGTTCCCTTAGCAGTACAGCGCCATGTAACGAGGGAGGCCCAAAACAACAACACAAAACCAAACATGCTGGTGGCAGGGCCTGGAAGGGTAGGCTCCACTCCACTCTCTCTCCATAACCCCTCCCTGCCTCCAGCCACCAAAGTATCCAAGGTCTCACCAGTGTGGAGACTGGTGGGTGGCATTTACTTAGGGAATAGCCATACCTAACAAGAAGCAAACTGTGCAGAAAGAATCCTGCGGCCCCAGGATTCAGCCCTGAGGAGAAGGTAGCAGCCAAAGAAAGACACACCCATTTCAGACACCTCTGGCTCCACACCCAGCAGGGCGGGGCAGTGCTACACTCAGAAGCCTAAGGGTCCAACTTCCTCTGAATAAAGGGGCAAGGGACCACACGCCTACCTGCACCCCAGTGGGCCCTGCTTTAATTCCCCTCACCCCAAAAGTCTTCACTCCCCTTCAGGAGCCTGTTCATCTCGTGGTCTAATAAGGAAACAGGAGAAGTCAACTGGCCTTCCTTCCCTGGATCCACTGCACTCTAGAAATGAGCCGGGGTGGGTTGGGATGGGGGTGGGGGGTACCATGAGGTCTCAGGAGCCAGGCTTAGGCAAGGACCCTACTCTGCCCCTGCTGTATCTCTCCACACCTGTCCCTCTCCCCCCATGGACACATATGCACACAAACATGCACATGCATTCACGTGTGTCCAGCTGTTGGCCTCTGCAGATCTTGGGCAGGGAGAGAAAAAAAGGGACATGGGTCCCCTCACCCCTCCCTGACCCTGGCACCTAATGGTGGCTTGAGGAGGTGACAAATGTGTCCACATGTCAGAGTATCTCAGGGTCATAAAGGATACATGGTTGGCCAGTGCGAGAAAGAAACCTTGTCCCCAACTTTTAGGGTCTGAGTCTTGCTTCCCTGGCTTCTACCGTGTTCTCATTTTGCCCTTAACAACTACCATGGCAACACGGCTCCTCTAATACTCCTTGAGAATGGCCCTGGCTTTTGAGAATGTGTCATTCCTGTCTCCTGGCTCAAGGGTATCTATAACCACACAGCCTTAGTTTTCAGAACTATACAATGGGACAACAGGAATCTCCCAGGCATTCCTGAGGCAATGCTTAAATGAAACAATACTAACCAAGTAGTAGGACTTGTTTATATTAATATTATGTATTATACAATAATATATTATAGTAAGTATTTATATTAACACATGGCCCCAAAATGCGGACGTGTCTGAAATATAGTGGGCCTGAAGTGGCCCCTGATGTTATTACTACTGCCTCCATGGCAGTTTTCTATTAAGATTTCCAAATAGTCACAACCAGTAGGGATTTCGGTACAAATGACTGTTTCCATGGCATGAGCCCATGGCAAGAGCCAGCAGCTGGGTTTTTAATCGGCCGTAGCCTTGACCTTAATGGAAGGAGGGGAGCAAACACAGGAAAGCCACAAGCTTGTGTGACATCACAAGCTGCAGAGATGACCACACAGACCCTTCAACCTGGCACTGTGGGTGAGTGATTTGTCGCAGCTCCAGCTTGGATAGCCAACAGCAACATGAGGGCAACAGTGGACTGTTTAACAGAAGGTCTGAAGAGAGTCTCCTGAAAACCAAGGGAAACAGGTATGGTGGTGCAAACCTTTAACCCCAGGACTTGCAGACAGAGGCAGGTGGGTCTTGATGAGCCCAAGGCCAGCCTGGTCTGCAGAACAAGTTCCAGGATGGCTAGGGCTACATAAGAGACTCTATTTCAAAACAACAACAACAAAAAGGGGGGGATGCCTGGGCTGGGGTGGGGACTGGCAGGCCGCCCAGGCAGAGGGAGTGGGGTGGTGAGTATTACTTAGTAGTTTCTAAGTGCCACTATCACCCTGCCAGAGGGAGAAGGCTACCGTCATCTTAGAGCATGCTGTAAGCACACTCCATCAGTGATGTTAGGCTGGAAGAGATGTTTAGGTAGCACCTAACATCCTCATTTTTACAACTGAGGGCACACGGCCCAGAGAGCGTAAGTGGCCTTCCTCAAGCTGCCAACTGCCACTAACTCTAACTCCCTCACAACTTCTGCTCCCCTGAATAACATGGCTCAGGTATGGATGGGGTGCTAGAAGGGGTACAGAACCAAGGCTGAAATTGTAAGTGCTCACACAAGTGAGCCAAATTTCATGGAATCCCACTGAAAACCAGTCACTGGAAAGTGAAAACACAAGCCACGTGGGTTCCAGGGACTCCCACCAGCGTCAGCAGCACCGGCATGAGAGGGACGGCCTCTCTGGACAGCATGGCAGTGAGAGGTGAGAGAAGTAGCGCCTGTGGGCTGGCGGGTGATTATCAAGAGACCACACAGAAGGGAAACAGATCAGCAAGGCATGGGCAGGGGGAATGGGAACTTGATCTCTGGCCCGAAGGAGAAAAGATAAGTCTGAGGAAGTCATCTCAGCTTCCATAGTCAAAAGAAGCATGGCTGATGCTGCAGCCCCAGGCAGCACAGGCAACTGGTGAGGGATGTGGACTCTGCAAACAGATAAGAAGCCAGCTGTACCCAAATGACCCTGTGCAGGTGACTTCGCTTCTCCATCCCTTCATGACCATATCTGGAAGATCACTGTGACACGGATGTGAGGCAGCTGCTTTCAGGAAGATAAAGGACAGAGAGTTTCAGGAAAGATCAAGACCTCAATGAACTGAGGGAACCCAGAGCCGGACATGATGTATGTCCCAGGAGTGGAATGCTGTTGAAGGGGTTCGCGTGGTCCCTGGGGCTGAGTTGAGTAAAGCCCTTTATGACTGTGCTTCTACAAAAACCCATGTGGCCCCTGAAAGTGTTGGTAAAACCAGTGTGAAGGGTTTAGCCACACCAAGGGCCCACTTAGGCCTTAAGTCTCTTCTGCCTTCCCCACCCCATAAACTCATAAGATTTGCTGTGTGCAGGCATTTTAAAACAAATACTAACACTGCTTCCATCAGATTAGCCTGTAGGTAAATCTGCAGGGGCATTTTCTTGACTACCGACTGACGGGGTAGGAGGGCAGCTCACTGTGGGCGGTGCCATCCCCAGACAGGCGGTCCTTGGAAGTTAAAAAAGAAAAAGGTAGCCGACCA